AATACGTGAAATGGAAAACGAGAGAAAGTTTGTGTGCGGGGAATAAGCGTGAATTTTTAGGATCGTTTGAATTGTTTGGATCGAAGGAAAATGGGGGAGGATTTTTTGGAATTTTAAAGTCGAATTTTGGAGTTTTTTTTTTTTTAAATTGAATTGAAAGATGAATCGATAACTTGATTATTATAATATAATCTCTTAATGATACATCGAGATCCATTTCTAGTTGAATCTTGTCAGTGTTGAAGATTTTTAAAATTTCTAAAAAAAATTTATTTACGTACGTATTTCTGTCTCATCGTTGAAAAGATTTTTAAAAAATATTTTCGATAATAATAAAGATCCTTACGAATGATCTATTTCTCTGAATGAAAGTATGAAAGTGAATCTATGAAAATCGATCTATTTTTTTTTAAACGCATCAATGTGATGCAAGCCACTTACGGAGGGGAAAAAGTTCATCAATTTCGAAGATATTTTAATCATATTTTGTTATTACCTACGTATTTCTTACGTACTTGAACCGAATCTAAATGTTAAATAAAATAAAGAAAAAAGAAAAATTATTCCAAAGCATCAAAATTACACGTTAACATCATCTCTCGACATAAATTTTATCAATCAGCCAACTAATTCCATCAAGATCCGTGACACAAATTGCAACATCTTGTTACTTCACAATTTTCTTAAATCACATCGCGGGGAGAAACTCGTTACAATTTATCCGTAAATTTCACGCAAACTCTCAAGCACATCGAAGGCTGGTCCAATTTTCATAATCATTCGAATCGAAAAAGCGAGCCAAGACACGTTAAAAATCCCAGAATCGTAAAGAAAGCTATAGCCACACACACACACACACACACACACACACACACATACACAGTAATTCCCTGGCACGTTTCCTGACGCTCGATCCACGTTCGTTTAATTCCACGGGTCTCGTATTTTCATTTGCAGTGCATAAAGTCGTCGCCTGGCCCAGGGCTAGACTTCGAACGAGCTGTGTTAATTTAATTATTCATCTGCCAGTTGTCGGTTCATTAAAATCGAAAGGAGGGAGGAAAAAGGAAGATAAGAAAAATCGACGATCTTTTTAAACGAATGAATGATTTAAATTTCGTGCAATATTGAAAATCTCTTTAAATCTTTCTTTTTAAATTATAGAGCATAAAGATGATTGGATTCAATATCTTTCCATTCTAATTGGAATATTTCTAACGAGAAATCGAGCGAAATGATTAAGAATCGTGCATCTTTAATAAGCGCAATAGATCCAACTTTTGTCGTCTAATTAATCTTTTCTAATCTGTCGGATGTTAAGTCAATTATTGTAAGTTAATTTTTTTT